TTTTTTAATAAACGCCCCCACCGGTGCTAGTGGTGCTGATAAGAGCAGACACCACTACCACCCGGGGAGAGACTCCATCTATTGGTGGGGAGCATCACCTGCTGGAAAACGGGTCCAGCGTCCCATATACAGAATGTAATCAGAGAACATCAGAGAAACAATCCTGCCAGCATTGATTACCCTGGATTACAGGGGATTGACTGAGCAGGACATTTGGAAAGAACTTGGGAGAACGATTTTTTAGAGAAACTGCCAATGTTGACAGCTCTGGACTCCAGAACTGGTTGTGAAGGCTCTCTAACTGTAATCACCAAACCATCTGTCCCTAATCTGAAGATGCCATGGGCCTGGAAACAGCGACCCTCATGCAGAAAGATGCCTGAGATGCGTAGGCGAGTAGCAGGAGTCCAGCTGAACCCTTCATCTGGTCAGGGTCCGGGAGGAGCCACTGGGGGGCACCAGTGGGTCCTCCCGTCACCCAGCCCTTCCGAGTCCTCAAACGGTCCCCTTGCAACCATGCAGCCATGCAGTCATCTGCCGGGTGTAACCATCTGTCATCCTTCCCTGCTATATCAGATTGTTAGACTTTCTCTTTTTTCACAATGGAATACATTGGAATACATCAGAAAAACTTGTAGGAGGATCTTGCCAGTATTGCCCTGGAGCTTAGGGGATTGACTGAGCAGGGGGGACCTCTTCACCCTGAATTCGGCGCCAGATTTCAACTGCCTTGACTAATAAAGTACCATTTTGGGGGAAAAAAGATAAAGCTCGCGTCTCGATTAAAAAATTGGAAAATTTTCGAAATGTCCCTCCGAAATCCATTTATTTGTAGCATGCCCCTGCAACGGCCGACTTACCCTGTCGTGCCCCTCTGCAACTTTTCAAGTTTCCGAACCCCCCCCCGGTTCCTCTGGGCCTGAAATATATTCCATATGCCCCTACCGGTACCGGCCCCAAATTTCTGGTATGCCCCGGATACCCGTTGGGTAAAAAGGTGCTGATTCAAAAGACACTATTTTCAATTGTTCATGTTCTCATATTCTTATTGTAAGAAGGGAAGCCGGACCCGCTTTCCAGCAGGTGCTGCTCCCCACCAATAGATGGAGCCTCCCTGGGAGTGCTAGTGGTGTCTGCTGTTACCAGCACCCGTAGCATCCAAAAAAAAAAAAAAAAAGGGGAAACTACGTGGGAGTCACAAAAAAGAGTTATACAGTTTAGAATTGCAGTTCGGACGATGTATACAACCCAGCTTTCTGGCCAGGTAGGGTGCCCCAAGAGCAATTGCAAACTGTAGCTTGCCCCATAGTGCAATTATAACTGGTTTTGGTGACTCTACTGAAGTTACCTCCCCCCCAAAAAAGAATACCCATTGAGTAAGAGGCCATAAAATTTCCATATGCCCCTACCCGTAC